TCCAGAAATTCCCCCTCAAAATCGTAAGGACTGATAGCTTGTCCAAATCTTTGAAAATTGGAACAAGTATCATCTTCTTCCAGTCCTAACAATGTCTTGGCTCTAAGAAGACCTTGAGAAGAAACGTTGACTGATTTCCCAGAGCCCGTTTGAAAGAGAGAATTGGAGAAATTACCTCCTTTATGCAATTGACCTGCACGAATTCAAACAGTAGAGAGATTTATCCATCAATGATAAGCACCCTCGTTAGCATAACACACGAACGAAGGAAAAGGGCAATAATAAATTAAATGTAAACTGATAGACTGAAGTCAGTGAGTAGCAGAGATAGAATATGAATCAAGATTGCGAGCTACATAAATTTTGAAAGAGTAACAGCACGCAGCCAATTTGATAAGTTCTATACAGCTCGTCCAAATATGTATTGCACTCAAAAACTTGGGCATAGAGCAAAATTCTGAGTATGGCTATGACCGTACAGAAAACAAGGCGGGAGGAACATTTAGTTAAAGGAATTAATGGAATTAAGAGAGTGAAGAAAGACCTATATCTGGAGCGTTGTCATCGGCGAGCATAGATAAAGCCTTCTCGATTGAAGACTGTTTAACAGAAACCGATTTTCCCAATCCGGTTCGAAACATCGGAGCGCCTGCATCGGCGTCCTCTGGACTTTGCATGAACCTAGAGCAGAGCAAGAGGTCGGCCATGGATGGGAGACGGGCAACGGAGCTGCTGTTACTTCGAGAAAGGGAAACATTTTGTTCGCAGTCGGATTTGACTTCGAGACGCTCGCCGGTTAGTTCCCACTGGAAATTGTTGCCGGCTTTGGGAAAAATCTTCCACGACGACATTGGACGCAGCGGAGTTTGCGTCGCCTCTGAGCTCAGTTTCTTGATTCGAGTTTTGATGAAAAAATGTTTCCAGAAATTAAATGGCGGGAAATTTCGGAACCAGGGAGGGAAGAAGATCCGATGGGTATGGGTTAAGCGGTAAAATCGCGGAACGTTCGCAAAATTAAGTAAATAAATCAACTTTTTTTTTTTTTTTTTTTTCTAATT